GTATTGCGATACAGATATGAAATGGAGGGGAACTCTACCCCAATGTCGGCCCCAAAAGACGTGCAAAAAGTTTAGTTTAAACGAAAAACACTTGACAGAAGTCTATCACTACGAAAAAGTGTATTACTCTAACACAAGCGATTGGTTTGCCATCGATGGCACGAAAGCCCACTTCCGGTGCAAAGACGAAACACTAATATTTGTGGGCAAAGAGTATCGTATTTGTGGTAAAGATGGCGAATGGAGTGATACTCATCCCAATTGTCTCGACACTGACAAAGGTATTCATAAAAATATCTCATTTAAAAACTTTTGAAATTAATAACAATTGATTGACTGTTATTTGGGGTGTAATCCAGAATCCAAACTGAATATAACGACGATTTCGGTTATAATTATGTTGACATTGATATTGACGTTTGGTTTGTCAGCAATTCTGGTATTCTGTGTCCTAAGGATGAAGAGAATGCAAAGAAACAAATTGCAGGCAAACGGTATGAGAGAGTCAAACGTTTACGACGACTACGACATCCATGGCGTCGGTCTTTACGGCAAGAATATGGACGAAATGTACGAAACGGTCGACGAGACCACTGAAGACAGATATGCGGACAATAGGCATATGCAAAGGGCGGCGGCGGTGGCGGCGCCCGTCTATACCGATATGAGTAGCGGTCCCTATAAAGTCAATTATAACGATAAAAATGTTTACGACGATTGTATTGATTACGACAGACATCAGCCAAATGCTAGTGATTTAGACGATTCCTATGTAGTGATGAAAGTACGCTAAAAATGTATTAATTTTATTCAAAGCGTATTTTTCACATACCATTAAAAATCTTGATTTAATAAAACAATTAATATTTAACTGGATAATTAAATTCATAGAGAGATTTATTTGTATTTTAACAAATAAAAGCGGGAAATTTTGTGCCAACATTTGCCATTAATAATAACAAAGCATATAATTATTTATAAATAATTTATTAAATATTTATGAAATTAAATGTAATTTATAAATAAATATCCAACTTTTGTTTCACAGACTTGAAGTGCATATTAAATGAACACATGATATAAATAAA